ATTAACTCCAGAGTGAGAATACGCTGGAAATAAAACCACCAAAGATAAAAGATAAGATTTAACAAACAATTTTGCGGCAGTGAATTAAATCAGATAACGCGATAAATTTTGACAATGATTCATCAGCAGCAGAATAGTGCAAATATTCGTAAAAGGATCTCTACGTGGTTCACTGAAAATCACCCACTCGACAATATACATATATAGACGAACGTCCATCTTCGTATCGTACAAATTGAAGCGTCGATCACTCTGTTCTCCCATCACTGTCTATATGCTGTTCTCTCAAACAGATTTTCCTTCTCGTGTCGGCCTACACGCGAAGAGTGAGTGCGCGTAAATGACCAGATGCAATAAGCCAATGTAAACGACGGTATATAAGATGCATAAGAATTATTGCACTTTCTTACAACTGCGGATATTTCTTTATCAATTTCAACGTTTGTAATAAAAATGTCTTCAAAATTATTCTTATATATTATATTTTTAAGATCAAACTTTCAACTTCGTAACAAATCGATAAGATCCGAATTGAAATTTTATTTTAAAAAAGTATTTAAAAGTAACTTAAAAATAGGCTTGTTAAACTTGTTATTTACAATGTTATAATTTCAGTTTGTCGAAAATAAACGGTCAGTAACCATTTCTTATAAAATATCATTTTTTATACTTTCTAAATTATTTAAAAAAATTTCCTTTTTTTTCAATTAAATAAATTTACTGAAATCTTCAAACAGATATGCTCGCTTCGTCATAAACATAATTCCATATACTCTCAAGAGTATTTTCGTGTGAAACTCTTTACGAACTTCGGCCAAGAACAATCGACTGATGTCGTAAGACAGAAACCAATTAGTAAGTTTCGGAGCGTGATCCAATCTCAAATTACACAAGACCGCATTGTTCACGCTTGCCCGAAATGCTTGACTGAAATATGATTCAGGGTTACGTATCTCGTACGAAACTCTTGATAAACTCAGTAAATTGATAAACATTATAAAGAATGACGTTTTTTGCAAAAAAAAATATGTATGCATTAACGTGAAAAATCTTTGTCGCGTAATATTACTTTCGTGTATACTTATCGTGTAATTCGCAAAATAACGCTAATAACGATACTGAATTTCGAAAGCCATCATATAATATCGACACTGCATGGGGAAAGTACATGGTTAAAAACAGAATAAGAAATACAGACGGGAAATAATGTGTATCATTTTCCGTATTTATTTCTCTCGCACGAAAAACTATTAGAACTCGCAAAACTGTAATAAGTGGCATTTATAGTGTATGCGGCATTGTCCGCGTTAGTGAGAGAAAATACATGTATATCCGGCTATTATCCTCACGAGTCTCGTGACTCTTTGTTAGTGAAATTTACGAACGACCAAGAATCCCGTTCAAGGTAGACCGCCTTGGTCGGCTTCGGGCCTCGAGAGCGGGTCGTCAGAGATTCTTACGAGCCCCAGCTTCTCTCCTCCGCTCGGAGTGTGTGATATTTAAGGTGCATACAAACGTCTTAAAACGATCGGCGGAGCGTTAACTCGCTTTTTAGCAATTCGATATCGTTAACGCGTGTTAACAAGCGTGGAACTCGATACATACGTATTGCATTGTAACTGGCGCGCGAGGTATATTGAAACCGCAAACACTACGTAATTGGAGATAATGCCTTAAAGGCAACGTGGGTATTGCGATCTCTGCGACTGTGTAATAATTGCACGACCGCGGCGTACACGTCCGTTCGACTAGCCTGGCGAGCGCCATCAGGTGACGCAGAAAATTAGGGGCATCAATCCGCTCGAGGAGATCGTAGGCTGACGGTAAACACCGGACGTCCCTCTCTTTTTCTTATGACGAGCGATCGAAGTTTTCCTCGTGGCGAAGGCGAGGAGGCGTGCAGAAAATTATGGAGATTCGCCGGACGTAGATAGAGCAACGTCCACCCCGTGACGGATACTAATGAGTTTGCGGTCGCGGGCTCTAAATCTATGGTAGGTCACACGGAACGTGAAAGTACATCGTAAACCGTGGTGTTGTGTTGTCGTCGAGACGTCGTGAAACAAACTGCATTCCGGGTGAAAATATATTTCGTTTGCTACCAAATTTATGGCTATCCAAATGTATGAGAATCGAAAACGCGTGCATAATGTATGTTAATTTACTTGCTCTAGATTAGACTCTATTGTTCCGTTACTTCAAATATGGAACACTAAGTAGCGTATTACCAAAATTAAATTATTTAAATTGATAAACCAAAGCTTTTGATAACATCAAAGGAACAATATATCTTTAATTATTCCCGAGAGAATATTCAAAAAATATTAATCGTACGACTCTACGTAAGCATAAATCCATTCTCATTTTGTATAAAATTCTCGCGTGCATGTATTTAATTTTTTATTTAAAATAATTAAAAATAAAGCATATTACAATGCTTTTTATTCTTGTAAATAATTGTAAAATAAATGCGTGAATTTTGCATACAAGTTGAAATAATATTCGTTTTAGATCATGCGGATAGATAATTGCTAAAGAGATATTAACAATGGCATTAATTCTTGATCAGATAGCCCAATATTTAAAAAAAAAGTGTAAAAAGGAATGTTTAAAAGAAACATCCACTCAGAGCATCGATCATTTTCTTATCGCTACTAAATCTTAAAAATTGTACTAACCAAATGAATGGCGCTAGATCCGCCCATGCGACTCAAGTCATCGTACTACAGTTCTAAAATAAGCGTCGTCCGTGATTGGAGATCGCAATTAACGATAATTGCGCTATTGGCTATGTAGTACCTACTAAACGCTTCTGCTTCGTCTAAGACGAAGAGGGCTGAACTTAATTGCAATTATAAATCTAGATCAGTACTACGATGTCAGTTTAATTACTTTGGAACTGTTTACATTCTGTAATTGACACGTTTGCACATGTTGTTTGCCGAAGATAACGAATTTAACGGAATATATTGTTGGATGCTTCTGATCGAAGCATCCATTCTTTGTTAGAATCAAATTTAGATTAAATAGATTAAATAGATAATTTATATATATCGTTGACATGCGAAAATATAAGAGCTGAACAAATGTTTTGCAGAACGTTCTTTTCCAACTTTCGATAGTTAATCATACACCATTTTCGCGATACATATAGGAAAAATAATTTTAAGTAACATTATGACGCCTTTATATGTTAAGCTTAAGGTATATAAAATATCATGACATTACAAGATTTTGTTCTTTCAAAATGGATTATGTATAAATGTGCATTAATAAACGATAGGTCTGTACAGCAAACAAACGGTTAGACAATGGAATTTTAAAGTTTTCATTACGGATCCTCTTAATACTTAATGGTTTCGTTGCATTGCGCTCAAGTCAACATTTCTCCCTGGCAGTACACGACTTCGCGTCGGCAGCCTGAACTTTAGCCAGACTAAAGGTCGTGTATCGGATACATGCCCTGCTGAAATGCCTTGCGAGCAATCTAGCCAAAAATAGCGAGCGGCCAATAGCGTTCTGCCAGAAGCAAGAATTGAGGGTACTATATTACGATATTGATTGCCTATACAAATCGACTTTTCCATATGGAAACAGAATAAGCAGAAAGCACATATCAATTCGTGATATATCGCCATAATCAATAGATACTTTATCAAAAACTGAAAGCAATCGTGAATTCGTCGGCAGCGCAAAATAGATTGTGCAAGATGTTAATAAAAAAATATTATTTTAATATAATAATAAAAATTACTGTACATCAAAGTTGACTGATGATCACAAATTTGTTGGTAAATATAGATTGTTTTCTTAATAAAAATAGTAAAGGAGATCATCGTCTATCACGGTTCTCTATATTTCAACATTGATACCAAACTTCAAATGAAAATTTTATCAAAGTGAGATTCACATTTAGAGAGTTAACGGAAAAATAGCGTTTCTATATTATCTATAATATATTTACTTCCGTGAGACTTGCCGCTTCTATTTTCGATCTATTGAAATAAACTATTATTTTTATCGAAGAAACTTTCCCCTTAATTGTTCAAACAATCTACCGTTGTAATTTCATCCATTTATCCTGAGATGAGATTTGTAGGAATTACGTGCTTTCCGTCTGTTCTGTTATTCATTTATGTGAAAAATCGGATTCTCAACGATTCGAAGTCTCGTCCGTAGCAATATCCGCGATTAAAAACTCCGTGACGATCGTGACCCTCGTTAGAGCTGGGGTATCTTAATATCCGCTTGCGACGGGAGGGTTTTTTTTTTCTTTCCTCTTTCCATCCACGAAGCAACGTCCGATTACGTCTCCCGCGTAACTTTACGATCCGCGCATGAAGCGAGATGTTACGCAAACGCGCCGTAGAAAGTCGGACGATTAAGAGCGAAGCCTTCTCCTCGCGGCGGCCGCCCGGAGTAGGAGAGTGAATCCGGAGTTCCGTGGGGATTTCCCGCGCGTACAACGTTAATTCATTTACGCACAAGTGCGGCGCATATTGAAGACGCGTCCCGGATGCGGGAAATTCGCGCAGGAGGCATCGGCGCTTTCCTTTAATTGTGGAAAACAAGATGGATCGGGCGAGTTAGAGAAAGAGAAAGAGGAAGCGCTTCCACCAGGAAATGCTGGAACTCATTTTTGTCGTTGATTAAATAACGCCGCGCTCTCGTGTTATTTCCTGTTGAGCTAACGCGATTCCGGAAGCGCGATCAATCGTGAATTCGCGATACTTGCGCGCGAATAAGTGCCTTTCGCCGGGAAGAGATCGCCGATCGTTGACGCCGTAAAAGTAATTCATAAAAAGTTTATTATACTTATCGTCCTCATCTTACGACTTTGGTTTAAAGTCTAGAATAAAGATTTTATATTTATGGTACTATAAAGCATTAATATTAATATTTTAATATTAATACTTTATTATATATTAATCTTTACGGTTAGATAGCTAATAGAATTAGCTATATATCTTCCTAAATAATTTAATTTTGGATTAATTTATGACCCGGTTTGCACCGGGTACTAAAAAAAATTGTTATAGACTCATCAAGTTGCTCCCCTCCATGGAAATCTTTAGTAAAAGGCGAAAGATTTATGAGTGTATTGAAGGGAAGCCAGAGTATCAAACCCAATTTATAACACTCCTTACATAAACAAGAAACCGAATTTTACTTACGAGAAACTGTCTAGCCGAATGGACCCCTCTCGGCCACATTTACAACTAACACAGCATCCAATCCCTTACAGTCCTTACATGTGTATATGCATAGGCTTTTAAAATAAGTTTTCGATCAAAAACAAATATTCTTGTTTAATAAAATTTAAAACAAAGAGAAAAACATGTTGCTGAAGTTTTTCTGTACATTTGTTTATTATAATTAATTGTTATTATTATTAATTATTAATTATTAGATATTAATTATTATTTATTAATTATTATTTATTCCTTCATTAATATTTTTTTTAATTTATATATTTTTACTATAACATGTATCAATACACAATTGCATTATTATTATACGACTGCATTAAATTTCAATATTGTATATAGAAAATTTTATTGTATAAGAAAATAATGTATCAGTAATGTAGAAATAACGAACTTCCTTGCATGTGTTTAAACAAAACGTTTTAAAGATAACATCGCGGAGACATGCATAAAATAAACTAATTTCAGATTAGGTATTCATTCGCATAGCGATAAAACCAGCGCCGATCGTTGCAGCATCTCGATACCTGTCTCCAAGAACATAAACACAGCGAGACCCGGCGCAGCCTGGCTAACGCAATAAAAGCGCTTGGCGCATCTCGAATATCCAATGATAAAATTCCAACCTTCGTTCACGTGAGATCGTCTTGGATTCGCGAAAAAGCTTATTATAAGAAAATAATCGAAGAAAATTCGAAATATCCCGTGCGATTCTCGCAAAAGAAAGAATTCCGTAAGAGGAATTTGATCAGATCGACGATCATGGAAGTCGGCCAAATGCAGCCGATCTCACTGCCAATGGTCGATAAAGCGAGAACAAATTATTTTCTAAGTACAAATTGCTACTGGTCTACAGACCGCTAGTCCAGCAAGCCACGTCGTTATCCTTATCGCGACTTATTAACCCGCATCCGTGTTGAATTCCGCTTTATTTTGCGCTTTTCGAGCCGCCGGAGCAACTATGCGCTGACAAACGAGAAAATCAGCCGAGAACATTCCGCGCGCGAGATGAGAGCCCGGAGACTCCACTGATCTCGACACGCTTAATGATACGGCCTTACGATTCGATCTTATCGACATTGAAACTGGGTATATGTACATACACGTATACGTTTATACAGGGTGTCCCGAACTCGCCGGGAAGGTTTGAAAATGAGAGCCAGATTGCTGCAGAGACCACGACATTGTAAAAATAATGTATAATTTAAAATGTATTTATAAAATACATTTATATGTATCTTATTTATCATATTAATATTTTTATATTATTATTTTAATAAAGTGTACTACGCGTGTATTAACACAAACTCTTATGTTTCTTGCTTTATCGAATCCATATCGTTCGGCAAAAAAAGGACACAATATTTTTGCATAAAAAACTAATAACCACTTGTGTAAACTTACCTCTTACAGCTTCTCGCAGTGTCAGTCTCGTCGTCAGCTGGTGCTCCTGCTCCCGAATCCTGAAAAATGACAATTCTTCTATACTATGAGCATGTACTAGGAGATAAGCGCGCACGATAACAAACTAAATTTATACCTTGGAACTCTCATTAAAGGTTTCTTTTTCAAAGATTGGAGTTCCAAGATCAAATCACAATATTCGCTGATTCTTCGAGTTTTACAATCCAAGAAATGACTAATTAACAAGGCGGAACTTTTTGCCTGCTTCCTCTTTTCACTTTCGGTCAATTTCTGCTACGAACAAAAACCGCCAAACAAACGGCATTAATAATTTGCGGTGAAAGCGCCAACAAAGGATCGTTACCGCGGGGAATTACGTCAATACCAGATCTACGACAGGGAAATACGGATAAGCCTTTATTCGTCCCCCTTGACGATAATTGAGGCATCGTGACAACCACGGTGAACGAAACGTTGGAAAATACAGTCGTGTACTTGAAGACAATGCTGTGTTTGTGAGCTACCGAATAAAATTGCTGCCGCAAACGTTCAATTCGAAAGTTTATTATAGCCATTTGACGAATCTTTGTCGACAGTCCAAACAACTCTACCCTGGACGACTAAGATAAAAACAGAGATCATCCGCTTCCGGAAATTTAAACTTTGAATTACAATATGATAAAGTTGTTATAAAACAAATTCCACCTTGCATTTTCCAATTAATTTTCTTTAACTATAAAAAAGTATTAAATTAAATAACAATATTCCATTTTCAGAATTTCGATATAATTAATAGAGTTTCTGATAAATCTTATCAATGATAGAATTCTTCATATATATTTCAAAAAAATTCTGATTAAGTGTAAAAAAATATTAATTCGAGAATATGGAGAATCAATTCTAATTCAATCAGATTCAATTTAAAAGTTCTAATGGAACTCTCAAAGCTATCCATCAGAATTCTTAAGAAAATGTCAGAAAAGAAATTTTTGTTTCATTAAAACTTATATAAATTTTCCATTCGAGAAGTAGAAAATTGCTTGGAATTCTTTAATTCCTCGTTTTATTGCTTCGAGTACCAAGAATAATTTATTATTGAGTTTAAAGTGACTACACTAATAAGTATAAGTCATAAAATATTTCAAGTAAGTATAATATAATAATTTATAGGCATATAATTATAGTACGTCAAACTTAACAACACCATACAAATAGGAACTCTTAAACGTTATAAGTATTCAAATTAATAATTAATAATGTACACTTTGATAAATGTGCATAATATCTGAAATGCCATTTCACACACGTTTATACGATGTGCATGAAAGTGATAATCCTACTTATTGACACAAAGTTAGTGTATCAAAGTGGAATTTATAGTCCTGTTTCATATCGTTTCCCGTATATAATATAGCGAGACATTTCCACGCGTCGTTTAGCCGCACATAGGCTTCCGCGCGCGTGTCACGGAGTGGTGGTTCTTTTATTAATAAAGTGCATCGTAAATATCAAGGATACGAGCGCGAATCCCCACGCTGGCGCACGATCACGCAGAAAACGAACCCTCAAAATCAATAGGCGACCGTGCAGCTCAAGGCTACCCCTCTCCTGATGCGCTAAAAAAAATGCAACTGGCCCCTTCGTGGTAAGTGCACTTCGCTATATGCAAAGCGATAGGGCGACCCCTTTCTAGGCTCTTGAAACTCAAAGATACTCAACAACAAAGTAAATCGTCCTCGAAAGCATTTTTGGCACGTGTAAATACAGGATCGAGCTAAAAATTGCACTTCAATCGTTTAGAATCGGCGTGCCAATAAGAAAAAAATTGTGTTGCGTTTAGTGAGTTGTTTTGGATATTAACCAAAAGATTTTTAAAACTTTTGAAGATATTATAAACGTTAAAAGCCTCTTTATTTAAAAACTATATATCGTTCCTTTTAAAACATTTTATATTATTATTTCACTCTATTTTCCATTTTCTGTACAGGCATATAATATGCAATATAAATAAAGTAACATGAATTACATTTTTAAAAATTTCACTATATTCCAAAGCTTTCAAACAAAGACTTTAATCATTCGAGACTTTTTAGAGGTTACAGAGAGTTTCAAGTACTTAAAACTTTCACATTTTTTTAATAGAATCTTCAAGAATCTTCGGTTTCAAATATTCGAAGTATTTTGAATCTTTACATAATCAAATTATTTAAAAACTTCAAAAGAAAGATTTGAACGCCTATATATATAACTATTTGACGTACAGAGTAAATAAAATAAAATATATCAATATTGTTCTTCAATGATAGATATATTAAGAATATAGATTTTATAATAAAAAACTAAGAATATAAACGCATTGAGATTTAAATATTGAGATTTTTTAAAAATACCTATCAGCCCCATATTTTAAAGCACTTCTCCGATGAGAGTATGCAAAAGACAACATCCTGCAATTATCCTTGAAGAAGATAGTTTACAACATACTACTGCGGTCGTTAAGAAAATTGATCGTGCGAGCGCATAAAACAACGTTCGCTATTAACAGCAGCGCGCAGTACAATTTTCCTATCCTGCCTTAGCGCTGCGGCTTAAAATAGAACCTTTCATTTGCTGAAAAGAAGATTGCGCCTGACCGAGCCGCGAGGAGAGAAAGAGGTACGGCGAGAGAAGCAAGGAGTAGCGAGCAGAGTCTCTGCAGCTTTTTAATTGTGGCTTTCAAGGCGAACTGAATGCACTGCGCGACGCACATGTAAAAAATAAATTCGCTACCGTCACTATATAATATAAAAGCCTTTTAATAACCGATTCTTTATTTTAAATTAGCAGAGAAATATCCATCAATCTACGAACTACGATAAAAATAAGTTGTCAATATTATCCCAAATCAAAATAGCCAATACTTTCGCGGCAATTCTTAGATTTTGAAAATAAATAAACTATTTTGACGTTTTACGTGCCAGCATTAAAAAATGTTATCCAGATGTCTGCGAGAGCCTTGGGAAATATACTTAACATCCGCGTGAAATAATCACGGAAAAGAGGATTTGCTGCAACAGCAAATCTATTTGTTAAATATAGGACAACTAACATTTTTTGCTGCGAGAGCTAATTAATTTTGCAATAATAGCAAAACCTTTTGTTGTAATAGCAAAAAGTTTTGCTGAACTTTGCTATTGCAACAAAAGATTTTGTTATTATTGCAAATCCTTTTTTTTCCACTAATTTAAAGTACGATTTCAAGACGTAAGTAAGCATTGCATTATAACACATCATCTTTTCAACACATTACTAAACACACTTCCCACTCTCCCTCATCTTCACTTTTACTTCACATAATAAACAAGGAGCACAGTCCCAGATACCCTCGACCTACTATGTATACAGGGTATTATTCTGAAATAATGATACTAATGTTCACTTTTAGTCTTTTCTTCGTGAAGAGAGTACATATACGTATATGTTGACCAAAATCAACAATTCCAACATTCCGGACAGAGATAAACTCATAAATTTTTAATGCCAGTTACGTGCAACCAATTCTTAATCCTATTATGAAGATATAAAACGTGTGACACGCGAATCTTTATCACGGAAGCGTAATTAAGTGCACGAAAACACGTGCCACGCACGAGAGAGATGTTCGGAATTCTATTTCGGGTTGTATAATTGCACGAGGAAGTGCGGACTGGCGAAATGCGGATACGAGATTCGATCGCGTACGACAACGTTGTTCGAATCGTCTCACATGAATTATCTTAATTGCGTTTCTCCCGTCGTTTGTACATATTGGCTACCGTGGACGATGCACGCCCATAAACAGAAATTAATCAACTATATATACATTATGTGCGCGATTGATTTCTCACCACGTATTAATTTGATTCCGCATTTTATGAATTTTATCGAAAAAATCATAATAATCTAAAAGTCATAATAATCTGTAATTGATTTTGATAACGATAACAATTACCGTAGAATTTATGATAAAATAATTGCAATAGCAATCGCTAATATTATGTTGTCTGTCCAAATGTGATAATAATGAATGTCGCATATATTACATATTTAGAACGCTATAATTTTGATTGCGCATTTATTTCCTTCTAACGTTATAACTATTAAATATAAACAAATATTAAAAACGCAATAGCACGATATTATTCATGAACTCAATTTATTATTCATTTGATATATAGTTGTCTATTTGAAGAATAATCGATTCGATAATCTAATCAACGCGACAAAATAATTAACGAAGCTGTTTTCGCAGCTTTAATCAATCTTTTGCTGTTTTAAAATGTGACGCAACCTCGTGAATTTCTTTTTACAACATCTAACTCGAACACCGAATGCGAAATAAACCGAAAATTATTGAGCACATGTATCACATTTTTTGCAGCAATCATTTATGTCCTGCTGCCGTTTGAATAGTAGTTATTAAATTAACATTGCAATATGTAGAAATACACGGAATTCAAGTTTTTTTACAAATTAATTGGTCGATGCGTTACGAAGAACTTTAATTAGGTACGCTCTGCATTGCACACACATTATTTCAATCTCATTAAATCAATAATAAAAACCAGAATGAAAATAGAAGTTTAAAAGAATATAGAGTAGAAATCATTTTAACTACTTTCTACAGAGTGTTCCGAAATTCTTATTTATCGTGATGTATATATTTAATGCTTTATAAAGAAAATAGATACACGTATTTATATGGCAGATATGCGGTATGTACTATCATGCATAAAATAAAAGTTTATTTGATAAAAACACATTAATTCGCATTTTATATATTCTAGAAGTCAAAGAAGATTTCAAACGTGTGATTTGAATCATCACAATGTCGACTTTTCTTATCGAAATTTACGTATGCATCAGCATGTGCATAAATCTTGATAATCCTATCTGCGGCTTTTTTAGCGTCGCACGCTCAGCGCGTCTCCTTTTCAGCCTGATAAAGTTGACGCGTAGCTGAGCTAGAAAAATTCAGTCCAGTGTCCATACGTGGTTATGCCAATTGACCGAAATAACTCAGTGACATTGCCACCCACACCGTATTAAGAAAATATAGCTCAAAACGTAACTGAATAATGCATAAAGTAAACGCGTTATAAAGCGTTTTTAGGCGTTTTTAATTTTCGCTCTTTAATAAAGTTCATATCGCATTATTCGCCATAATTATGTATTTGAAAATACGTAACGACGATAAAAGAACAAAGACATATATACTCTCTTCAACGTGAAATAGAAAGTATTTTCAGGTTCTGTAACGCAATTTCGAACAATGTAAGTGAAGTGCGCATAGATTAGTGTTACAATGGCTTTGTGTCAATCCATCTTAATGCTTAATTACACCACTGCTCAATTAACGAGACAAAAACAGCAAATACGGCTTGTATGCGATAAACAATGCGTAACAGTCACGCATGAGAATTTGTGCAAGGCGGTAAAGACATATAATTAAGTAAATTAGGTATAGTACCATTTCACATATATCGTTTAACTATAAATATTGATTTTTAAAAATGTTTCAAAAATTTTATCAATTCTCTAAACGCTCACGAAATAAGTTCCAACAAAAGTTCTAATGTAAATGCTTTCATAAATTACTTACGAAACTGTAGTTACGCGAACAAATTTGTATACTTTTAGAAAAGATAATATTATTTTATTATTATTTCTTGTTTTAATCTTAATATATCAGCGATTATTTTAAAAGCCCTATTAACCTTCTTTTATATATATATATAAACTTTGATATAAATGCAATTACGTTTATAGAATTTATATAAATGAGGAAATGAGGTATACTACGTTAACTGAATTAATTATTGCAAATTTGTCACCGAGAATAGGTCAATAGCTTCCATTCGATTGAATTAAAATATACGAGGACTGCGCAGAACATCCCGATCAATATGCAATGCAAAATGTTAGAAACCAATTTTGAATCCAATTTTTGTGTTTTACCTCGTATCGTAATTAATACGTGATAACTTTGTGCCTTAGCGTGCTCATATAGGTATACAAAAATAAAAATGCGCATATCCATAATTTCGTACGCCATGCATTAATGTGACTTTCCCTACTCGATACACAGATTTGCGTGTTGTTGTATGCCGTTATCGTAAATCTTGATTATCCTCGAAGAAAAGCATGTGATTAATTCGGCTAACGGCCGTTGTTCACCTCAATTATCTCTACAAAAGTTGTACTTATCTCTACGATCCGTTTTTTTTTTTTTTTTCTAATCAAAATCTAATTTGCCTCGTCACGAATTTGAGCGTGACAATTCTCATTTTAACAAAATTCGCCTGATATCTTATTAAAATAAAAAAATTTTTTTAAATTGAATGTAATTGTTTCTATAAAAGCAAAAGTAAAAGTAAGTAATACAATTCCGAAACACAAATATTATGAAATTCGTATTTCAATTATTTCAAGCAATTCTAAAGGCAAGGAAAAAGTTATCTGTTTACATTATTTTAACAATAATAGAGTACGTTATATCGTGTAATTTAGGATTTCATTCAAGGATAAATTCTTTGATAAATATAGAAGAAACTTTTTTCTTAGTAAAAATAATCGAGTTTTCCAAGTTATCAGCTTTTCGCAAAAGTAAATATAGATAATATCAAGAACAAAGCACATCTGTGTGTAAATATAGATATAAAACACTGAAGACACATATGGACAAAGCATGGCGCACTTTATTTCTCATTTACTTTCAAGTGAACTTCGACTGAATTAATTTAAATTGAATTTTCATTATATAACATTGAGAATTAAGAAATTGTGTAAAGAGAGATCCCTAATCGCATTTTATAAAAAAAAAATAGACTTCAAGATAGAATGTATTAATAAAAAATGAGTTATATAATGCACGATGTTAAAATACATGCCGGATATTAGTCTGGCTCTACTCATTTATACGTAGTTATGCTGAAGATCTGAAATATTGTAATTTCTGACTCGACTTATTTGCCATAACGATCGCGGAAATCACTAACGCACGAGGTGCACTAGCGTGATTCCAAACTCGTGGGACAATCGGAGAAATCGCCGGGCTCCGCCGGCATAAAGTCTTACTTTTGCTGTAACTTTGTCTCGCAATTGCGTGACGCGTTCGCCACACGCGACTCTTCGTCCACGACGACGAGGTCGCCGATCGTCGCCCCGGAGGATGCTGGACCAGGGCGAGGGTGGCTGGGGTGGCGACGGCGGCGGCAGACCGTAGTGTAGAGGAGCTTTTTGCTTCAGCACAATCATGTCTCGTATCAAAATCGACAAAAGTTCCCTCACATGTGGTGACGTACTTTCGCGGAGCAGAAACTTTTCTCACGCCAGATAAAATTCGTCAGACAGACCGCGATAACGAATCGGACACACGTATCGCGATCGATTAATCCTCGGATATGAACGACTTCGCACTGGTAATCGGAAGTTTAATTAAGTATATAATCAAGTATATTGCATAAAAATATTGTTAAAATATATATTAATCATTTAAATTTGCAATTATTACCGTCCTGATATTATTTTTCAACATATTCGCGTGAGGAATGTGTGGATGTTCGCAATGTTAATAGCCGAGAGCCAAATTATATCAAATTTTGACACTAGAGAATAACGCCCGTCAATAATGCTCGAAAATCTCAAAATAATAAAAAAAACAAGGCAAATTAAATCAATTCAATCCCTTTAATTCTCTTTCACAATGAATTCTATCATGTTCAACTTCTTTAATTATTTCTCTTGACCAATCGTATTAATTACAATTCGGCATTCGGCTGAATGCCCGAATATACTTTATGTATATCGCCTGACCTAAACCAGCCACCCCTCAACCAGATCCTCACGTTATCGCGAGTGGTTCGCGCTTCTTTCAGTCTTGTAGCGAGAACACGAGAAGACAGGGCACACGGAATATTTATTAGCCACGCGAGCTGCCGTCGTACCGAGTGACGGCGAACTGACTGAATCCGTCGACATCGCGCCGAGGAGGGCTGCGAGAAAAAGAGAGAGAAAGAAAGAGAGAGAGAGAGAGAGAGAGAGAGAGAGAGAGAGAGAGAGAGAGAGAAAGAGAACGTCCCCATCTCGCTCGCTGACGCTTCGGGTCGAGTCGGGTCAGCAGCACCTCCGCGACGCGATCGTCACCCCCTTGGAGCGCAGGACACGAACGAAAGGTCGCGCCTACGAAGGTAGCCGTATCCGAAGGGCGAGATGCGAGATGATGTCAAGAGCGTGAGGGGAGAGCATTTGTAAAAAAAAAAAAAACGAATGAAAGCTCGAGTGCCAGAGTCAGGCGAATCTTCGTATTCAATTATCTCGAGTGTCTATTGACGTTCGCAGCAGCTGAATCTTTGCCAAATAAGTTTATTACTGAATCCGGTCACTCGCTTTGTTCTACGCTGGTGCACGAAGACTATACATGCCGTACATGAAGTTATTTAACCTGAGAATGGACGCCTGTAATTTTTACATCCCACTATCGGAAAAATAAAGCTCACGTTACAGTAATTTTAATGTGCTTCTTTCATTTTTTTTTTTTTAATATTTTTGTTCCTCCTTACTTTCTTCAGAAAATGAGTAAATACATACTTATACATATTGTCCACAAATACTAATAAATTATAGAACAATCCAAAATATGCAATACGTAATTAATAACAATGATTTTTAATTGGGGTGTAAAAATCACTCCAGGCAATATATGCAATATATGCAATAAAAAAAATCAGAGACGTCTGTTTCCGGGTTAATCTTGAATATATACTTTTATATTTTACCTTTAAATTAC